CTGTATCTTAGAAATTGGACTGTGAATTCGTTTTCATTACCACCCCACGCCTAGAGTTACAAACATGAAATCCCAGAAAAAAAAGCACCGATCCCTAAAAAAAGACCATATGTCAAAGTAAATCTCAGGAGTCACCGCCACGCAGATCTGCGACACTACATGGCCAGTCCCCCCCCCACATCGCCTCCCCAGCAGGAAAACGCCACTTTACCGAAGAATGTCATCGATCCGTGACCGCAAGTCATGAGCAATCTCCAACTGCTCCCCACTAATGACACCGCTCTGTTGCAGGATCAGCAGCATCTCAGAGACACGCTCGGCAACGATATCCGAGCCGAAAACCATGCCGCCCAGGCGCACGGTCTCATGGAACCATCCACTCAGCAGGTACAGCAGGTCGTGTGCGATAAACCGCCGGTTTGACCCGTGGAAGGGTGCCTCGTCGGTGTAGTACATGGTCTCCAGCACCGCGTACAGGGATTCGTGCGCCACGCCAAGATCGATGAACAAATCCACCACCCAGGTTGCCGGGCCGACGTTCCGCTGGAACTCCAATGCATACCGCTCCAGCATGGGAACAAGCTCGCGAATGGGGAAGATAGTCTCGGACATCCGCAAGCGACTGCCGAGGCTACGAACTTTGTCGATCACCGCTTCGTAAGGTTGCGGTGAGCCGCGTTGAACGGTGGCGTCATGGATCCCCTGGATTAAGTGTTGCCAAGTTGACTTGACGTCGGCCGCATTGCGATGATCGGCTTGGTAGAAGATTTGGAGACAGATGTCATGGTAACTGGCGGAGTCGGCGTATTTATTGAATAGCTAGAACAATATTAGTATCGTAGTTTTTTTTTTAATCTGATTCGCAAGGGACAATATTAGCACTTACTGTACTAATATCCATCACTGGTCCATCGACCTCACGCAGGATCTCGGGTTTCCGCTCCGGGAGAATCCGCTCGTCATCCTTGAGTCTTTGAAGGAGGTCATCCTGGATATTAGCCACGTCAATGAGGTTCGAAATCTCTTGCAGCAGTCGCTGCCTTGACTGACGCCCGACGTCCGGTGTGAAAATCGAAGCGTTGGCGCGGGCTTGACCAAGGTACTCAATACGACGGCTCAGGGGCAACACGAAAGCACTATTGGCCAGATGGAATTGAACCTGGGCAGTCTCGAAGAATCGTTGGGACTGGGCATAGAAACGCCAGAGTAGATCAGCATGGCCTAGATCATCGTTTGACTTGCGCTGGAGGTAAGTGACCACAAATGGCGACTGGGTCTGCAGCAACCGATCGTTCCAGCCCTGCTCAAGGTACCAATCGTACAAACTCGTCAGGAACACCTCATCGGTGGAATCGGAGATCACGCCATAGGCCTCGTTCTGGCGTTTGGCAATAGTCGTCAGCTGGCCATCGATGAGACCGGGATCAGATGCAGCCAATTTGTCAACCGCAAGCACGACTTTGAAGATGAGATCATAGCACTGCTTGCGGAAATAAAAGTATTCCTTGCGGGGGTCCTGGGTAGTTGTGAGCGTGAGCTCGCGCTGGGATCCAAAGGGAATAAGGGGGATAAGCACCTGTTCGGGACGCTGATCCATGATCCAGGAATAGGCAAGGTTTGACTTGTCGGACCGAGCAGCAACGTTGAGGGCAAGCTGAATGGCACCTTAATGAAAAAAGAAGAAAAGACACCAATTAGTATGAGATAGCAAAGACCAGGATCACACAACATACCTGCAAAGAACTGGTTGACAATGAAATTGTCCACAGCCGAAACCAGATAATCCATAGGTAGGCACTCGGCCACCTGCTGGAAGAGATGCAGACTCTCGTTGAGCAAATTGCGGCCCAGTTCCGTATTGGCACCGGCCTCAGTAGCACGCTTCAGCATCTCTTGTGCCTTGAAAATCACCACATCCTCTGTACTGCAGAAACTGCCACATCGTCTTCGAAGTGCATCAGCTACGGTCTCGACGTTGGAGCCCTTGGCAATGTTGCGGTTAACAATGCCCTTCACAAGCTCTTTAGCAATGTCATGTCCTTTGCTGGAGCTAAAGAGTTCCTCAAAGGTGAGGCTGAGGAACTTTGCTTTCGATTCAGCTGGCAAAGTCGCCACAATCTCATCAACCCGCTCATCGAATAGAACCAGTATGAATGAGATACCTTCGATTGTGTGTGACACCAACTGAACGAGTGAGTGTAATGCGCGGTGCTCAGCTTGCAGCGCCACTTCTTCTTGCTTGCTGTTTACCCGGGCAAGAGCATCGGGACCGTTGAGTCCATCGATAAAGGTCTTGTTCACCTTGAAGAACTCTGCCAATGACGAGAGATCATGCTGGACAGTCTGCAATTTACTGGAACTCACGGACGCGGAAACGGATTGCGCACCATTAGGTCCATTGCCAACCTTGGCAATCTTCTCCTTCCAGATAGATCGCAATAGACGGGCGATATATAGTGCAATACCCGTGTGTCGAGGAGAGGGCTGCACTGCATCAAGAGCAGATGTTGAGCCATCCGCAATAGCATTTTCATTCAGATGAGCTCGGCCACCTTGAGTGATGAAGGCCTGACGTGCTGCCGCCAGGATGTCCGGATCGGTAATTCGGGTCAGTCTTTGATCAGGGGAAATCTCCATACCCTGACCACAAGCCACAGCCAGAGCAGTCGCCAGCATCTCGCTCCGTCCATACGCTCTAAGGAAATTTTGGATCTCACCGCTCAGTCCCTCATGAGGATTGCCGCTGCTGCGGAGCAAAGCTGCAAAAATATCCACGAGACGACGCCGACGGATGATATGAACTCCACCATTAGTCAAGATCGCGATCTCAGCAGCCGGGTGGTCGAATTGAACGGCCAGCTCGTTGGTCACCGGCGAAGGTGCCGAAACTAGACCAATATCCTCTGCCTTGCCTCCCAGGTCCAGGATGATCGCCGACTCAGCGGCTTTACCACTGACCGAAGTTTCCTGGTACTGAGCGACCCGACCAGAGTCAGGGGTTGAGATGAAAAGGGTGTCGATCTTTTGCTGGGGATCTTTGGTAGTAAAACAGAAGAAATAGCCTGGGGAATAGCGCTCGGCGAGACGAGTGGGTGAAAGTGTGTTAATCTGACCAGCAGAAGGTAAGACCGTGCCAAGAGGTGAAACAAGCGAGTTGGAAGATGCCACCCCGCTCACGCCGGGGGAGATATCGACGGGCGGTGTTTTGACATGCAGTGCCTGCATGCTTGTGGGAGGGCTGGTGTTGGTCGACGCAGGCGCCCAACTGTTTGAACCAGTGGCGCTGAGATAGATGCGATAGCCTGTTGCCGTGGTTGCAACTAGATGATACCGCGAGGCTTCTGTGGCTGGCACGGGACTGATGGACACAATCTTGACTCTGGGGTTGAGGGTTTCGTTTGAGGTGATGATGTGCCCGATGTTAGAGTAGATATCCAGAGCGCGTTTAGTGATTGCGAGTGTCAAAGTACCCTCAGGTCCCATGTGGAATACGCGAATTGTAGACGCGGAGGAGAGTGTGTAGAGCAAATTCCGACTGTCGTCAAGTGCCATCTGCACTACATGCTCGGCGGCGCTCTGTGCAAGGTTTGTCAGACTCATCGAGGGCCTGAAAGCCGATAGACGCGAGCTGGTGTGGTTGACTCTGCCACAGCGGCCCTGGAACCACCTTTCCTCCTGTTGGTAAGTGACCTCGTGTACATCGGTGTCAGACGATCCTCCAAAGAAAATGCGTCCAGTGGATGCTGATGCTGCGAAGACATTGATATCCAAGCCGCGCACTGCTACCGACATCCCCGTGTGATACAGAGAAACTTGTCGACCTCCGCTGGGCGTGTTCTCATAGCCCATCCCCAGCAGAATAATGTCCGCAGTCGTCGCAATGACCAGCAAGTGGGTGATCGCAGGCAAGAAAACTCCCGGGCGAGGTTTGGTCAGCTTGACAGCATTGATGCTGTTAGGCTGTTCCTCGAATCCTACCAATTGCGGGTTGGGGTGTGTGAAATCCCAAATGTACAATGCATTGTCAATCGCGACCCACGCGTGGTTTAACTCGGCAAACAGACCCATGCTCGTCGAAACTTGTGCGCGGTTGTATTGATCAAAAATCTGGTCGGGGATATCGTACATTTTGACTTTTTGGAATGGTGCCCATGATTGAGATATGGGGATGTTGTACTCAGACGAGGAGCCCTCTGTTTTTGGTCAGTATTGCTTCAGGCAGTCTTAGTTGGGAAGCCATACGAGATAAATAGCTGTCAAGGTCTGGATAACGCGATTCGCTTTGCAAGCTGCTATTAATCGTTCGCGCCCCGCGTTCCTCGGTGCTCACTGTTTGATTTTGGGTTTTCGAGGCTGCTGGAGGGAGCTTTGGCATGGGCGTCTGGGGTTGCGTCTGCAATGGCGACTTGGGGGGAAGAGGCCGTGCTGTAGCTGGCGCTGGGGTCTGAAAGTAAGCTCCAGGAAGGGGTTTCTGCGGCGTCGCCGGGGGGAGATTCGTTGGAAGAGTCGGATACGACATGGCGGCGGTTTTAAATGAGGGAGAAAGGGACGATCCCCCGCTAGAAATCACAAAGAAGCTGCAGTCTAGGTCGGACGAGAAAAAGAAAGTAAAAGATAGGTGGCGGAATGACGATGAGAGAAGGTCTTGGGAGGAGATTGGATTATTCAAGGTCTTTGCGAAAAGAGAGAGTCAACACCTGGGAGCGCACAGACCAATTGAGATCTTCCGCCTTCACGGTAATGATTGTTGATTGTCTCCCATTCCCATTGATCCCTCAATTGAGCTTATTTCTTATTGTCTAAACTTGTCAATCAGAATGTTTCAATCTATCCGCTTTTCTTCGCGCGTACCAGCTCGTCTGGTACGGTGGAATTCTACCGGTCCGGTCCTGCCACCCTTGATGGCCACTTTGCGGGCTGATCTGAAAACTGCCATAAGAGCCAGAGACACCACAAGGTAGAGATCCCTTCCACTTATATTTTGGGGCTTCAGCAAGCTTATGATCAGACTCAATGTAATTCGTGCTTTGATCTCCGAGACCAATAACGCCGCCAAAACCGCTTCGCCGATCCAGACAGACATTCAACTCTTGTCGCTTATCCGGAAACGCCTAAATGCCTCCAAAGATGCAGCAAAAGAGTTTGATGCCGCGGAACGTCCAGATCTGAAGGAGAATGAGGATGCACAGGTTGTGGTATTGGAGGAATATGCTAGCCAGGTCAAGACCCTCCCCATCGCCGAGATCAAGGAAGTGATTAGCAATGAGATCGCTGCTATGATCAATGCCAATACGAAGCCCAACCAAGGAACCGTCCTCAAAGCTCTCTTTGCTGCGGGAGGCCCTCTGGACGGCAAGCCAGTGGACCGGAAAGAAGTTGTTACCGAGGTGAAGAACGCGCTCTCTTGAGCTTACATTTACCAGATTGTATATTAGTGTCACAATAGCCTCAGTCAAGGGCATTCAAATCTCAATTATAATTCACAGAAAGAACGAATCCCAAACTCCCATTTAAACGCCAGCCCAGAAAGTTCATGAGCAGAAGAAAGCTACTCCTCCAAGAGATGTCATCAGAACACCCAACCACCACCATCGGTCTGGATTGATCAGCTGCTCTCTAGCGATCAGCTGCAATCCTGACTTTGACGATAGTTCTCGCTTTTGCTTGTGCCCTGTTGGCGTGGGGTTCAATGTCGTGGTAGGGAGCATCTTTGGTGGCTGGTAGGCGAGGAACATGGGATGGACGAGGGAGCCATCAGGCCTGGTCAAATCGAGGCGGTTAATGCGATTGAACTTGTCGATATACACGGAGAATTCCTGTGTGCTGTCAGAATGGGCCGGCGGAGTAAAAACGAAAGAGACATACCTTGAACTCCTCGGTGGTGTTATATCGTGTGTAGTGACCTGATTGTCTCCGGCAGGGGTCGGACAGTAGCTGACGACCATCAACAGCAATTGGAGTTAATATCAGCGTTCCATTGCCGAACACAGTATAAGCGCCATGTTGCCACTGCAAGACCCCTCCCGGGCATGATGGGTCGGCCGCTGGGTGATATTAATACAATATCAGAATATATATATTCATGGAGAACTGACGATTTGAGATTGCGCGATAGTATGCGGACTCATAATTTCCCTCGTCATCGAACGAGTATGAAATGCCCGTTAGATTCGGCTCGAGTAGCTTGTCGTTGAGTGGATCATAGAATCCCTATGCGCGTCAGTCTCATCGTTTGTATACTACATATAGTAATTTCACATACTGGACCAGTAAGAACATCACGAGATTTGGTGGTCCATGTTCCGACCAAATCATTCGCGCTCGCCAAAGCGGCCGTGACTAAAAGACTCCAAAGCAAAAACATCTTAGTTGACAAAGGGAAAATTGACAGAAAGGGAGTATTTCAAGGGCGCCCTTTATTGGGGGTGGAGACTAACAACATAGTTCAGCAAGGCCCTGGAATGGGAACATCAAAGGGTTGAAGGGTTGATTTGGCACATTATAGATTTGACAATTGGCGACATCACCCCTTGTGCTAATTTAACACCTAAACAAGTTTCCACAAACCACACTGGGGTCAATTCATATAACGAGACACGAGGAACCCCAAATGCTTAATTATATCTTATATAACATCAGTCGGAGCTATGTCGTTCCTTCCATTTATGTAGTACCTTCCGTTCTGGCACCCAGGGTCTTCCTCCTAGGGCGCCCTGTAATTTTCTTCCCCCTCAAATTCTCTCTTTCTTTATTCTTACCTTTATCTCTCTTCTCTCCAGTTGACCAGTTGGTCCTCATCGAGCCGCCCCCATTCTCGGGAGCTGTTCCATATCTGTATCTCCTCGTCTCCACCCCTACCGAGGAAATACGGATCACACCGAGAAGAACCAGGTGATATGAACTGTTCTAGCTTTAGACAATTCACTCACGTCAAAATGAGTGACAAGTCAGTTGAAACCAACAACAGTCGACCTAGAAGAAATGGACGGCGTTGTCTATGAGCAGAGTCTTGAAGCACTGCTCCAATGGCTACACCTTGGGTTTGTCCAATTTGATCCGCCTCCTATGGCATCCCGACTTGCAAGGGAGCGCAAGGAAAAGGGCGAGAGAAAGAAGAAGCTGAAGCTGTAAGTCAAGATCTTCTATATCTCTACATCATCTGTCTCGTGTTGCATCCAATGATGACAAGGACCGTCCACTTTGCGATGGGCTTCGTCCCGTCTCATCTTTGTCTGATTGATTCCCATCATGCCCTCGCATCAATTATTTCAAGGAACCCTAGACCGACAAGTTCTCGTTCATTATATCATGAGCACGCTAACTGAATGAATAGCAGGAAAGGGAAGAACGCCACCGGCATGATTACGTTAAGTTCATGACCGGAGGCTTACGACGGCCTTCGATTTAGATCGCCGCTCCGCATCTCCGCGGGAACGTCAAGCTCCCCCCTCCCCCGGCGAGAGATCACCACCCCGCCGCGAAGAAGAAGAGTCCCGCGCCCCCCAAACCCCGGTCAACAACAATCCCGGGTTCCCTCATACCCCTGCCCCCCTACCACCAACAGGCTCCCGGTCGAGGAAACTCCCGGGTTGCTACCTCCCGCCCGCCCCATCGACAAGATTTCCGGGGCTACCAACAATGGCCCGGTGGACAATCTTCCCGCGCGGCCGACTTGACTCAACGGGGCCTGCCCCTCAATACCCCCCCAGGCCCCCTCCACCGTGGACTCGATACGTTACACAAGAATAGTCAGCCGCTTATACGGCCTTGTGGAGTCGTTTTTAGTAGTTTTCTCAGATAATCTTTCTAAGTGTCTTTTTAAATTTTTTTTTTTTTTTTGGTATTCCTTTTGACAGTGTTCTAAGATTCTTCTTATTCAGTCATCTCAGGTGTCTATCTTCATAGATATTTTCTCGTCCCCAGTAAAACCTTTGAATACCGGGCAAGTACTATGAGAAAATCAGTTGTGGCGCACTGGCGACTAGAGACCATCAACAAACCTCACAATGCAAATGATCCAAAACCATCATCTGTACCAATAATCTACAAGCATGTAAACTTGGAGACAAACAACCTCCCTCCTTGTGTCCATTTTCCAAAATGGCCAACTCATATTACCCCCTTGTTTAGTCCAGTTTGTCCTATCCCCTTCATCCTCTAGGCCACAGAGAGAATATAATGGCTAAAGCACGGTGTTGCAGTAGAAATTAGGCAAAAACAGCGTGTGAGCGTGGAAGCTATCATCAGTATAGATGAAAGCTGTGACCCTAGCCCTTATTCACTCGGAGTCCCCCCGGTATACCTTATCGAAGAAAACGGGTCGACAAGACTCCAGTACCAATGCAAATCGTGAATTAGAGCTTTGTCCGGACTCGATGGATGTATAAAATGATTTTTCCAAATTGATCTCTTTGATATTGGTTTAACCCAGTTACACAGATTCAAGGAAGAGGTATCACGAGAGTGGAGATGAGGAGAAAGAAAATGAAGGAGCCTGGTGCGAGCAATTTACAACACGAGAAGCCGAGGAAGCGATAAGAGAATAAAAGAGAAGACCCAGTGAAGAGGAAGATAGATAGCGAGAAGAGGGTGGAGAGATACACCACCATTCATCGTCGGGAGCAGGCTCTGGGACGCCATCCCCGCATAGCAGCATGTATGTTATAGCGAGCTACATCGGGTCAATGAGATCATCGTAATCATCATAATTAGGTCCAGAATGCTCAATTGCTACTCTTTTTATTGCATTTGCGGAGCCGCTATTAGTGCTTCAGGTTTCTCGTGACGCCGGCGATATTATGTTGCATGAACTGCCAATGTAAAACAACCAACTTCAGCAATTAAGTTCGATCTAGTTTAGGGGGAAACAATTGAGGAAACAGGTAGCCCGAGGGCACTTTTGATAATATGATTTGAAAAAAAAAAAAAGAATACATATCATTGTACCATGCACTTCGACATAGTCCTCTCCTAGCAGGCTATAAGCCCTCAGAAGCTCTATTAACCTTCCTATCATTGCCATCATCCAACGGCCTAGGTATATCTTCGAAACTATCACTATCGTTTTCTTCAACGGCGCACTGAAATTATGAAGCAAGGCCGATTGCTTTACTTGTAGAAGCCGATAAGGCTGTCCCTACAAGACCGCCTCGTCGAATTATGAACTAGAAAAATGGAGATAAACTAATTTGTGTGGTGGCAAAAGCATTTTCATATATAGGCATGTTACCACGTGGAAATATGGAGACGCATCGGTTTGTATGGGATGAAAAACTTCTTTTAATATTGAATGATTTACACCACACGATATGAAGATTTCTGCTGAATTGTGCCTCTAGATTGAATTTGCTTTATTGTGCAATAATACTCTAAAAGGGTCTGTACATTAATGCTTATATAACAAAGCTGTAGAAAAGGAAGGGACATAGGAGACTAATACGCAGTCAGGACCACCACTACAGCACTACAATATACCCTCTCTACAACATAGACTTATTTTAATGAAAAGCTCTGTATATCAGTGCCCATAGCAAAACTGTTAAATGACCTTGGAGGGAAGTGACGGGCAAGGCTAATCTGTAGTGAGGCCAAGTTACGCCTCTATGACTACTACGACGGTTCATCAATATACGTTATAAACCCCCTCTAAACTTGTTTTTAACAAAAGAACGTAACTATCTGTTACTTGTAATCTCTGTATATTAATGCAACATAACAAAACTGAAGGGAAGTGCGAGGCTAATACGTAGTGAGGATTAGTGATGTCCACTACAACGGTTGATATACATTAGAAAACCTCAACAGACTTGTTTTGATGAAAGAATATAACTATCTATTACTTATACCCTCTGTATATAATATTTATATAGTAAAACTAAAGGGAAATACAAGGCTAATACGTGGTGAAGACTAGTTATGTCCCCCACCACAATAGTTGATATATATACATTAGAAAACCTCAACACACTTGTTTCGATGAAAGCCCCCCTAATAAAGATTCGGTCTTATGGTCTAGCGGTCATGACTGTGGTTTTTGAGATGATCATGTGATCTCCCAAAAAATACCACCAACCCCGGTTCGAACCCGGGTAGGACCTATGTTTTTTTTCACCTTGTTTTAGATTGAGACGCTAAGTTCAAGACTATGTATGGGTTATATTATGTATGGGTTATATTATAGCCTAACAGAACTAAAGTGTATCCGTATTATGAAATTAACTGTTTTAAAAAAAATAAGCCTATATTTATAGGCTGTTCTTCTGTTTCTTCTTAGAACCCCTTAATTATTATGAATCCATAATGGGAAGAAGGTGAACTGATGGTGACATTAGGACTAGATAGACTATCCCAATCCTGAATGTAGTTCAAATTGACTGCGGTACAAAATCAATCAGTGAGGATCCGTCGTATATATATAAAGAAAGGGTTTGCCCAGGTAGAACTGGGGTTTCTATTAAAATATCACTATTTTTTTTAGGTCTAGGTTCTAGGATAGTATTGTCTAAATGTGTTTAGTAAGACATTTAGGAGTATTCTCTTCAAAAGCCACCCTAACCTCCACTACGATCACCACGGCGAGTAGCATCGCTGTCACTTAGGGCTTTAGGCTCGTCCTACCCAGTTCTAGACAAAAAGAAGCTACCATGTCCATCTTATTGATTCATAGACTTGGCATATTGTGATTGTGTGATCTTCGGACTTCTTCCCGATCCTAACATGGCCTTTCTGAAAAAGAGTGAAGAGGCGTAGATAGTTGATTCCTGGGCGTGGCACACTGTGGCTGTTAGCGTCGGAGAGTGCTAATGCGATCTCGTTTCACGCAGCGGCTATCTTCAAGGTGGAATAGTATGCCCGAGAACCCAATTCAGTTCCTAGGACAGAAATAGCATTCATATATTAGATGACCGAGGGTGCTGTTAGGGTCTTCGTCGGGCTGCAGGGTACTCGTATATAGTGGTTAGGTGATTGTAAGTGTGATGTAAGTGTGAAGTAGTTGTAGATATGAATCAATCGACGGACGATGATTGATAGTCGATGGACGATAGGTCTGACGATGATAACGGAATATGAAATTTATAGATGTGGAAAGGCCCCCTCAAGGGTCCGACCGTGATCGTCGCTGTTGGTCATTGAATTCTGAGTCAACATAGTAATAAGGAAGAGACTTCAGCCATGTTACTTGCTTCTTGATCCGCCTTTTAAGCTTCGCATAGGAACTTGAGCTACTTTGGTTTTGCTCTGTTTTGCTCGATGGCGGCTGAAATTTGCTCTCCGGGGGTTTCGATCAAATATGATAACCACCAGGTATAGCCATTGAAAGAGTACCTCAAGGCTCTGCTTCAGGACAACGCCTTGCTTCGAACATGGCCGTGAAGACTGGAGAATGAGTTGTCTTATCCCTCATGACACGTTTAGTGACGACCCCGAGTAGGCCAAGTCAGCGTAGAACTGATCAACCGGGGAGAAGAGATACAAAAGGAACAAAAAGGAAAGAAAGAGGGAATTTGAAGGGGACAGAGTTAAACGGGGAGCCTGGGTGGTCCCAGAACGGAAGGAACTACATAAACTGACCTCGGGAAGGAGCGACATGAGCCCCAACTGCTGTCTTTTACCACCCACCCCGGTTCGAACCCAGGCATGACCTTTCTTTTTTTCCCACATTTTGGTTTCCACATTTTGGTTTCTATTTTTGAACAGTAACTTACTTCCCCGCGGAGTAACTCTGCGTGTATTTTCCCGTGTGATTCATAACCATCTACAACTATCATAGCAGAATGGCATTTCAGGCTGCAAAGCGCGACCTCCGCAAGAGGATGCGCTCAACTCTACAGAATCTGCCTATAACCTCAATAAGTCAACAATGTCAGATCGAATGATAATCTTTGGGTTGTCCATAACTAACATGCCCTAGCCAGCGCGGCAACAACCCGTTTCTTGTCACTGCCCGAGTACCAAAATGCCAAAAGCATCGCCGTATACCTATCTATGCCAAGTGGGGAGCTCTCAACAACTGGAATCGTAAAGGATGCTCTACAGCGTGGGAAGAACGTCTACATCCCGTATATTCACACCCAGGACAAAACATCCATCATGGACATGTTCGCGCTCGGATCCATGTCCGAGTTCGAGTCATTACAGCTGGACAAATGGGGAATCCCATCTCTCCTATCTACGCAAATTGAGGGTCGACCAAACGGGTTGACACAGGGTTTGGATCTTATTGTCATGCCGGGCATGGCCTTTGACCGTGGGTTCCGACGACTTGGTCATGGCAAAGGGTATTATGATCATTTTTTAACGCGATACTCAACATCAACCCGCAAAATGCCATTCCTCGGTATGTAGTCCCAGAAACAATCCGTGTATCCCCGACTGAACTCCATGGTAGTTGCCCTTTCTCTCCAAGACCAGTTGCTCGCGGAGGACATTCCTGTGGTGGAGCACGACTGGTTGGTAGATGCGATCGTGGTTGGTGATGGTCAATTCTTCGACCGCAGGGTGTAGGGCAAATCGAAACAGAAAAGGAATAGCGAAAATTCAAACGGCCTGGATCAGAGAGACATTGTCTCCCTTGAGGAGGATCTGGCCTGTTGCGCATTATTAGCTGTGTTCTCGTGTGTCTCCATTTCAATTCCATCGTACCAAGTGGCCTGCGCTTCTCTTCCTCTGTCTTGGTTGCCAGACGCACTTCGACAGCATCATCAATCACCAGGTTCATGAATTCATCAAAGCCCTAGTATAGGTTAGCT